GGGGGTGAGAGGTGCATAGACGGAGGAATAGCTGCAGTTCATCACGGGGTACCAGGAGTGGACCGTATTACGTAAGTGAAAGGATTGATAAAAGAGTTTGGAAATAAAGAATAGAGATATTTGATAAAAGTCCTCTTGAATCGTCTCCCCCCCCCTTTCACCCTCTTTGCTCCCATGTTCAAACAGGTTAAAAGTGTTTCTTGCGCTTCGTGTCAAAGGGACGCACTATGGTTCCCACACAGAATGGAGACCCCAGATGCGCGAGCAAAATTAATACGTGTTTCCACAATGGAGGGGCTCAACAAGACTTTTACCTAATATTCTGCAGATTATTATTTTCGGTGCCGACTCTAACCATAAATGTATCTCCCCCCCCCCCACCACCACCACCCCCACCACACCAATCCTTCGCACGGATCGTACAATCAGACACATCAAAAAAATAGGTAAGACACTTCTTTTGTTTTAAATTATGTTTTTCCCTATCGCAATTATAAATGATGACCTTAAAATAAGTCAAAAAGCCCCCTGAACACAAAATTTTGAGCAATTTTAGAAGATGATAAAAAAGAATACACAATTTCCCCAAAGAAGTGTTTGATCTTATTTGGCAGATACACAGTTAGAGTTGGGTACCGACAATATGAAAAAAACAAACGAAAAACAATAACAGATGAGAGTTGCCAAATTATGAAGAGCACGAAAGCCCGCAAAGTGCAAAAGTGAACGATTTTATGTTGATCAAGGCATAGACGCCCCAAGAATAACAGTTTCCCAGATCTACAATACACCTCGAGACCTAAATAAAGATAACACAAAAGTGCTTGCAACCTTCCCACAAGTAAAGTTTTCTAACTTACTCCCCTCCAATACCTCCCCCACTCCCACTCCCAGCCCGACTCCCTAAAGTTCTAATCCTCTTATTTCTTCCAGACATCGCCATTCATTTAATTACGTGTCTGTTGTAGATGAAAACGCCCCTATCAACGCAATTCAGATCATTTAAGAAGCGGGCTGCTTCGATCCTGCCTTTCAGAGCCAACCCGGGCTCTAAGAAATACATTATCACAGCAGAAAGATAGGGATACTCCAGAAAAATTCTCCTCAAACGGGAATCGAACTCAGGACTTGACTTCTGTTTGCAATGACGAAGCCCCTAACTGCCATGCTACACCATAGACACTAGTAGCATAAAGAGTGTTTGCATCCTTCATAAAAGCTCCATTTTCTAACTAACACTCCTCCCACCCAACCCCCACCCCCA